ATGTGTGATGTTATAAGAGTTAAATTTAGTTAATTGATAATTTATTCGTTTATCACAATTATGTTGATTAATAATCTTACGAAGTAACATGAAAACTTATTTTTGAGGGAAACAAAATAAAAGAATGATAATTACACTGATTAAACTATCTTACGTATGAATTAAATAAGATAATGACTAACCATAACTTCTTAACCGGTAAGTATGTCTTGGATTTTAAAACAATAAAACTTTCAAAGAGCCACTAAAGGGAAACCATATACATATATATCTTTTACATGAACTTTTATCAATTAACCCATGTTTAATTAAACCACATATTTGATTAGTAGTACTTGTTAAATTATCAATTTTCAGAAGAATGATGTATTTTTGGCCGTGTTTCTTGACAATCAACAGGTTAACAATTTCAACCAAAGATAAGAGTTTGCACTAATCATAGAAATTTTCTTTTTAAAACGACCTTGGTCATTATAGGTGAATATATATAGTTAGATGTATTCAATGTTTGGAGAAAAATAAAACTAAAACACAAATCAAATCAAGCTGACTTAAAAAAAAAACATTTGATTTTGTTTGGTTTTGAATTTTTAAAATCGACATTATTTGCTTTGATTTTTACAGTGAAAAAACTGATAACTTGATTTGATTTTGAATTGAATTGGACTGTTTTTTAGTTAACAACTTAGCATAGAGACTCATAAATTAGAGTGAAAAAACATATTTTTTGCTATCATAATTTACGTGAAAGTGTTTGACTGGACATAAAATTTAAGAAAAAAATAAAAAATATTTAAAACTTATAATCTAAAATAAACTAGAGCTATAGAAAGTTTGGTGGTTATAATATAGTAATGAAGTATTTTGTGTGATAAAAGTTCAGTTAAAAGACTTACTACTAATATTAATTGCTAGTATACTTGACGAAAGACCTAATCCTTTATTTATTTATTTTAGATTTCATGAGAGAAGTGAATGGATAAAAGGTTAAAAGGATCAATGAGTTCAGTTTGTACATATAAATTATAATGGTAGATACTTTTAAAAATTTATTTTGGACGAGGAAAGTGGATATTGGATAGGGAAAAGGGAAACAAAGATTTATTTAAAAGGTTGAATTCTTAGCATCTGGCATGGAACAAACTTTTTGCTAGTCTCTTTCAATCTATTTTCCTTGCTTATTAAAATTAACGAAAAAGACCTAAAATACTCTTTAACTATTCAAAATGGTACAAAATTATGCTTTCGGACTTAAAATGCCTTCGATATTAACCTTTTGGCTCTCTTTTGTCCTCATAGTAAATCATAATCTCAATTAACAAAAGATCAAATACAGGCTTCCACCCGAAAGCCCCACCCGTAAAAATCCCCAAATATTTTAACCAAACCTTTCATCCCCAAACCCATTGATAATGTTGAATTGCGCTTCACACCCGGAGATTAACCAGTTGAATTGCTTCGAGATAAAAGTGGCAATGGACATAAAGTTCTTGCATACTAGCTCCAACACCTACTACTTCTTTTGAATCTCCAAAACGACTTGGAATTGGTTGATGTCGAGGGCATTTTAGGCCCGAAAGATAGAAGAAGGATAATTTAGTATCAATTCATATAGTTGAAGAGAATTTTAGGCCATTTATCGTAAAATTAATTTTTACTACTCATTATATGATTAAGATAGAAATAATCATTAGTTCCACCTTTATCCTTGCTCAATAAATATGACAAAAGTTGATTAATGAGGTGAAAAAGAGATTGTTATTAAATTGAGATAAAAAAGAAGAAGAAGATAATATATGCAAATTACTTTTTAACTTAATAATTTTTTGAAGAATTTGCAAAAGAAAAACATGATAAGTAAAATAAATCGGAGGGATTAATTTTATTGCACTTTGGAGGATACTTTCCACATGCACTATTCTTGGCGAAAATGTTTTTTCACGAATGAACTCAAATTTGTTAGGGAACATATATTATTTTCCTTCTAATCATCTTGTTTTTAGAACTTTCGAGATTTCCTTCAAATTTTGATTCGTCTATATTATCACCCATTCATTTTTACTTGTCAAAAAAGCAATAAATTAATTTATGTTGATTACCTAAGCAGAAGTTTATAGGTTAGTCCCAATCATGTGAATAATTTGACACTTGACGAAAGAAACAAAGAATACCATATTGAGTTCGTATGAAAATAAATTACGAGGCCGGAGTAAGAGTGTTACCTATGCTATATAGGTATCGTAAATTTAGCACAAATATTATATTTTTATCTATAAATAGAAAAATTGATCAAGGACGTAATAAATTATATTTTTTAAAATTTAAAATTCATAAATTCAAAATTCATAAATTCAAAATTCAAGTTCACTCGAGGTCTGAAGACATGCATCATATGCATCTAGCTTAATATTACAACAATAACAACTGAAATCTTGAAGCAACATGCATGAGAAATAAACATAGTACGAAGTAGAGAGAATCTCTCATTCTTTGTATATTTCTTGCAAAATTAGACAGTAAGAGTAAACCTCTGTTCCATTGGATAAACAATCATATTCACCCGCCTTCTTAAATAGTTCCAAATTGGTTCACCACTCATCCTCCTTCTCTGCAAATAAGATTCTTCTTCGAATTTTTGTTTAATTTTCTCGAAAATCCAAAGTAGCATTTCGCCTCCCAAAAGCAGAAAACAGAGGAAATACAAAACAGGGGAAACAGAGTCCGGGAAGAGAACAGAGGCAGTGGAAGCCAAAGACAGAGAACTAAAGAAAACCATAACATGGTGTACGAAGTCGGAGAATTTCCTGTACATATAATGACGAGAAAATTTCAGGTTAATAGCATATATTAAACAGTATAGGAGCAAAGAAGTGACAGAAACTCTCATGGTTTTTGGATGAGTCGAAAAAGGATCAGTGTTGTTATTGCCTTGATATTTTAGCTGTAGAAAATTGAGGAGAATAGTGAAGAAGAATCCAAAAACTGTGAGGGAACAAGCTGTGGTGCTCTGTTCCTGGTACATATAGAAAATGTAGGATTGTGTAGCCATGAAAGTGGAATGTGCTTGGTACAAAAATAGGCCAATTCTTGAATTATTAGCCATTGAAAAAATTGAAGTTAAGAGACAAAATGAAGAAATAAAAGGGAGTAATGATGAAGATACAATTAGCAGTTGATTTAATAATGTGTGTATATATAGAGAGAAGATTGTCAAAATTTGGTGTCTATATCGACATTTACATCTTATGGTTATATTGACGAAAAAAAGAGGCTAATTGGGGTATTTTGAGGGTCAGAAGGTTCAAAAAGAATGAAGTTGTCAAAATACTACTCCTAACATTAGTGCGTACTGTTTTTTCAACATCCAATTCTATGAAATTTCTTTGTTTTTTCCATCCGAAAGTGATGTAGGATTATATTAAATTCACTTCCCGTAGTGCTTCATTAAAGGGAAGCGCACTTTATTAAAGATTTTTTCATACTCAGACTCAAAATCAAGATCTTCTTATTAAGGAAGGAGTAATTTTTCCGCTGCATCATATCCGTAGTAGGTGATAATTCTACGAAGTTTCATGTACTAGACAATTGAAAAATTGCAACCAGTATTAATAGGGGGGTTAAGCATTCGGTATTCGGTTCAATAAGCTCAAAGTTTCATCTAATTCAATAATTGATAATTGAAAATAGATATCAAATATCAAAAATTTTAAGTTTGATTTAGTAAATCAAACTTCGAATTGGTAATTGTGTGTTGAAGAAGAAAAATTCGATAGTACAATATTTTACATGTTGGCTTTTAGAAATGTCACATATAGATGGTAGATCTCCACTTTCAAGCCTTCATATTATGAATCGGCGGAATAGATCAATCAAAACATGCAGTCACATAAATTAATACGGATGGGACTATCAAACTTATATTGTCTTATTACTCGGAGCGCTACCTTTTGAATGAAGTTTTAGCCAATACAAATTTAAATTAGTCTGATTCTAATACAAGTATTAGACACCGGTGGAAAAAAAAAGCCATACTACTGCTATTAATATAGTACTTTTGAAAGGGACTAGATCCTCCTCCTTTTTTTCATTTTTTTTTCTTTTTTTAGATTTGACGAGAGGATATAAAGGTTATAAAGGCTAAAAGGATCATTAAGTTCAGTTTGCACAGCAAATGCTGTCCACTAGTATACATAATCACAAAGCTTGAACCTTTTTTTATTTTGTATTTTATTTTGGATGTGGATAGAGAGAAAAAAATTAATTGGGAAGTTCTGTTTAGAAAATTAAATAATAAAAGTTTTTCCATTGCAAACGTTGAATTTTTTGGTTGTGCAAGTTTCTCATTTGTAGTTAATTTCTCTAATTTATTCCATAACTGACCTTGCCATATATTACAATTAATATCACTTAGCCAAAAATTTTCTTTAATTAGTGATTCCAAGTCAATATGATAATTTGAACTTTTTCTTCTTGTTTTTTTTTAAATAATTATTTCTCTAAGCATGTTACTGTTATTGGTAAAATAATTATTTTAGGAATGAATACAAACTTGCTAGGGAAAAGATATGATTTATCCTTCTAATTACCTAGCTTTTGTTCCCTCTGTTTCATTTGTTTTAAAAGACGGAATCTTTAAAAGAATGTCTCTTTCCATTTTTAACAAGTTTTTAATTCCAACTTTTCGGTATTTACTTTTAACAGTTTTAACTCTCCATACCACCACATTAGACTTGTTATATAGGGCTACTTCGAGTTGTCATTCAGCCTAACTGATACAACAAATTCAATGAAATTCCACTAACTGGGGTGTGGGGAGGCTAGAGTGTTTAGAAACCTCTCCCAAATAAAAGAAGAAAATACAATGAAAAATGCATAACAATTAGTTCGAAAAGTAGTGTAGAACTTACGAGAAAGAAAAATTATACACCACATTGCATAGTAGTTAAACTCTTTATATGCCTCGTTATAACAATATTCGGAAGGTCTTGTGCTCAATAGCTAAATATTTCACATAAAATGTTACAAATGTTGCAGAACATATGTCTAGACAAAGTGAAAAAACAAAAAGAAAATCCAAACTTGACAATAGATTTGGCTTGTGTTCTCTTCTATAGCAATGTGGCCACGTTTTGGGGATCGTTCACTAAAAAGGGTTTCAATCGAGGGTCTGTTAGCTGGGGAAGACCAGCTCTTGCTCCCAATGCCCTACAGCCGATACCTGCCTGCAATTAACCCACAACGCAGAAGTTAGCTTCTTTTACATTTACAATTTGCACAAGACACAAAGCTAAAGTCTACTAACCACTTGAGAAGCAAATGGCAACATTCTTTCTGGTGGCATATTGGCACAGAGAGCTGCAGATTGCAAGTGGGAAATCCATGAGAAATGAAACATTACAAATTCTTATCAAGCGTGAAGGGAACAATGACATTAGATTTAAACTTGCATGGATATAGACACACGTAAGACTAAAGAAAAAAACAATAACATCCAGAAAGGAGGTAAGAAAATGGATTGAGGTAATCTCTCGATCCAATTGTTACAGGTAGAGGGAAAAGGGCGATGCAGGAATATAACACATGTAAAGGAAGAACATTAGGTATAAAGACTGCAGAGTATAATTTTGCTTACCATACAGAACTGCTCCAATAAATGCATCACCTGCACCAGTTGAATCGACTAATTCTGATGGCGGTATCTTTTCAGCTGTTCCAAGAAGCAGCTTCCCACTCACTGTCCCGATGCCTTTTGCATGCAATTTTGCAATATCCTAGAAGAAGACATGTACTTTAGTTTATTCAGCTTCATAAGAAGTCATAAGAAGTGCTGGGGAGAAAATAAAATCATAAGCAGCACCAAGAAGTCTCCAATAAAAAGAATTAAGAGGGTGATGAGTGATGGTACGACTGCAAGAGAACATGTGGAGGCAATTCATATTTGTAAAGATGAATATCATGACGTAATAGAAAAAGGGTACTAGCCAGGAAGCACCAACCATACACGACTCCCACTCCACAGTAGATACTCACTTTACAGTGGTGGGACTAGAACAAATTGAATTGTGTGCACGGATTTCTATTAGTCCATGAGCACTGTGGCCATGCTTCGGCCATCTATTGAATCATAAACCTTCTAATTGGTGAATTACCGAAGATATGGATGTTGCACTGGTTGCGCCAGTATCAATACTCTGCTTCATTTTCTTGAACAAGTCATCGACATCAATTTCTTCAGACTGGAGATCCTCTGCAAATCAACCCAATAACAAAACATAAATACATACACCTCTTTGTTCATCTTTCAAAACAATTTGTTTGCCTACAAGCAGACACTCAACATACATCAGAAGAACCAAAAAAATATGCAAGCATACCAGCTTCAGCCCTTTCTAACATCATGCAGCCATCTTCACCCAATGTCACAATTACAAATTTGATGTTTGGCAACTTTAGAAGTACAGAAACTAGAGCAGCTGGGATTGAAGGGGCCTCTGTCCATACCTGTGAGACAATACATCTTTTGTCAAGCTCAAAAGGGCGAAAGATATTGTTGAGTCCCACATCGGCGGGATGAGGAGAAATTGGTCTCTTTATATGGTCGTGGACAATACTCACCTCTTGAGCTAACTTTGAGGGTTAGGCCCAAGGTCTATCACATGGTATCAGAGCCAAACCTATACTAATTCATGACTTACAGATGTTGTGGACCATATTAAATTTCCCATGCTCTAGATGTCCTGTCCAGGGTGCTGGGCGTGTGGGGTGATGATTCCACATGGTTGGATGACAAGAAATTGATCTCTTTATATGATCTTGGGTGATCCTAACCTCTTGAGCTAGGAGGAGAAAAATTAACACTATTTCACCTTTTAAAAAAGAGTGTTGAAAACAATTTTAATCCCCAATTATGTCGTACGCAGTGGCAAGGGATAAAAGCTTTAAGTTGTAAGTTGTAACACACTGAGGGAGGAAGGGACTTTGTCGTCGAATTAAAATTGGGGAGACAACACATTTCACTCCTAGACTTTATTAGCAACTAAGAATTATAGGTAGATCACCAGATATCCAAATTGAAATTCCGCAGCAAAGGAACAGTGTCATTGCAATTTGTCAGTGTAGCTAACTTGCCTGTGGAAATCTCGCTGAGCATACGACATAAGTTGCCAAGTTTAGAAGGTCATCTACCCTTTCTCTTTTACTTTCTGCATCAATTACAATAGGTATATTCCTCTGATGTGCCTGCACTGGGAATCCAAAAGGCATACAGTATTTTCCATTTGATTGAAAACATAAATCTTCGGATAATTTGAACAAAAAACAACAAACAATAATTAAGCTCAATATGTCGGCTCTAGGATGAGTACAAGCAACATATTCAAAAGCAGACAGTAGGATAGAAGTTTTTGCTAGCCATTACTCCCATTTGTCTGACAAAGAAGTTCAAGTTAAAATTACCTCTCGGGCCACAACTAAAGCTGATAACAATTCAGTTTCTTGCAATACTCCATCAAAATATACAAATCTCACATCATCCAGAGCTGACGACAAATTCGACTTGGATAAATCCTCAGGTATCATAGGTGGGTATCCTGGAGTGTAAATGCAAGTCCGAGTTTTCCTGGTAGATCAAACAATACTAATCATGACTCACGAGAGCTAATAGCTTCAACAGAACAAGTTCAGAAGGGTCAGCAAACCAATTGTATACACCAAGAGATAGTAAATATAGTAAACTTTCTAAAATGTTTATACTTCTCTCACACAAATATGGTGGAGAAAAACTTTGTTGGTTCTTGCATAAGCAATTTTTTGTCTTAGAAAGGATAGTGAAGACTGAAACCCACTATACAGAAGTATAGGTAATGTACAATATACTGTTACTGATCTAGAAACCAAATATTAAGCAAATCACAGCAGAGCCGTTTACAATTGATTCAACAAAACTAGAAACTGACATCATGTTTTGAGGTAAAAATCTGAAATATGCCAAACAATCACCAGAATGCAATTAACATAAACAGAGAGAACTCACGCTTGACTATCAACAATGACGTAAGAGAATGTTGAATGGCCCCCTTCGGAAACCTGAACCCAAGATTTAAGGTTGAGGTAAATTAAATACTTGAGTTATATCTGATGTTGCTAACACATTCGAGACCACTCAAATTGTGATTGATTTAACAGATGCATGAAACTACATCCATAATTATCCTACATGCAAGAACCTTCAAGTTTGAACATTGCCAAACTCACCACCATAAACGACGTATCGACCCCATCAGCTTCCAGCTCTTCCAGTATTGCTTTCCCTTGAGAATCATCTGCAACCTACAGGCAAAAATAGTAACAAAAATTTGAAGACTCAATGTGATTATTGCAAAAGGGTTATGTGGGGAAAGATGAAGAAATTAGAAAATAGTTTTATAGAAATAACAGTTATAGGCGACTCCTTATGCAATAATTACGAATGATACATAAAATAACACAACGAGTCAGGTTACATTTCATTAAATATGTTTTTGTTCTACGCTATGCAACTATTGAAAAAGGAAGTAATATTTACAATTGAATCTTGACCACCGATACTGAGGGACAAGTTTATTCTGGTAGACTTACATATATTTGCTTTGGAATAGAGGCTGTCTTTTCTCCAATCAACTCCAGATTAAAGAAACATGGAGGTTAAACAGTGTTACAAACCTCTGTAGGAAAACACAGTGGCAGGGGTAAATTGGTGCTTGTTAACTCCAATAGCAAGAAGGAGGTTCAAGAAGCTAATGAGGACCATGCTAAGATATAGGACCTGTGCTCAGTAGCACAGCAACAGTTGTATGACATGATATTGGAATTTCATTATCTCATTATACACAGTTCGACTCACATCAAAATGGGACAAAGCAATGTTTTTTAAGGGGTAACATAACATAATTCTTCTTTGAACCTCTCATAGAATAATATAAAGTCTTACTTTTATACTTGAACACAACAACACACCCAGTATAATCCTACAAGTGAGGTCTGGTTATACTTGAATAGCCGGAACAAAAATACAATCAAGAAATTGAGTCGCCAATTGCTATTTATAAGTCCCCAAAATCTCAAACCTTCGATATAATTCTTGGAGATAGGCCTAAACGAGCTGCACAAGTCAAAGCATTCCCTGCATTGCCACCTCCTTGAACCTAATGAAAAAAACACAACTTACTCTGAAATTTTGAAAAAAGATATCATACTATCAATCACACACAAAAAACAATCACCTGAAAACTGGTGCTTCGAATCTTATCATCAGGGTTAGGATAAGAATCAACAGCAACAAGGAAATCCACCGCCGCCATTCCACAACCTAACTACTCCCAAAAACAAAAATTCAACAGATATAGTAAATCCTATAACAGTTTCTAATTTATTTTTGACATGTCAAGAGTGTAAGGAAGACCCACAACGCTATGATTTTCTGGGATTGCGGCAGTTTGTGGGGTTGACGAAATTGACATTTTAAACCTGAATTTAATCAAATAAAACATATATTATATCTTTCAGTTTACTTTACACAAGGAAAGTTAGGATTTTGATTAGATTAAGATAACATACCTGGTGAAGGAAGAGTTACAGGTTAGGTTACAGCGTGTGGGAATATGAAGTAGCAGAGTTGACGGCGGTGATCGGCCGGAAAGTGACGGAGAGTTACATGACTGCAACCGGAACGCCGCCATTTCTGGGAGATGATCAAAGTAAAGCAGTGATTTTGAGATGACACAGAGGAAATTAAAAGCTGGATTAGTCAGTCAGCTCTCAGTGAAGAAGGAGTAGTAGGCAAATTCTTTTTTAATTTTTTTTTTTTTGGCTTAGTGTGTTAATTATTTTAATTTTTTGAAATTATATCTCTTAATCATAAATAGAATAAGTTATCTGCAAATTTGATTTGTAAAGTGTAATGTCATTGAAGTTGGATATTCTCATTGAATAAGATTATAAATATATTTGTTTTATATTGAGCAATGTAAGAATTAATGGATTGTTTTTTAATCAAATATTTGAACAAATCTTATGAACTTATAATTGAAAACATTAATCTTTAAATATCTAACTTTCAGAAACAATCTATTTATCATGTAAAAAAAGGTCTAAATACATTGTACCATTTTAAATTGTACTTCATCGAATATATACTTATTATAATTACACATACATAATCAAATATTATATTTATAATTATGTATAACTATTATATTACATATTTACTAGAGGTGTACCCCTTTTGTTAGTAAGAAATAGTTATCGGTAATCAAATTTTTGATAAGCCAACCTCTTTTTCCATCTTTCTTATAGATACGTCAATTCCGAACATACTTAATGATTTTCCTAACATCATATTGTCTCACAATTTCCGATAATTTAGAAAGGTCAGAAGAATCACAAATAGATTCGAAAATGAAAACCTCAAATTTATTATCAGTTGAGGACATAGTCAGATTTAATAATTTTTTATTTTATTTTCTACCTTGTGTGGGGAGCGCTCATTGGAGTAACGTTGATTGTGTGTGTGGTGTAATTTAGAGAAATTCAATTTGCGAATTAGCTTTCTAAACAGACCCTTATAGTTTTGTGTAACTCAATTATGACCCCTACTTTTAAAGAAAAAGACCAAATCGTCGGGTAAAAATATTTAGAACTTGATTTAGCGTCACTGTCCGCCATCTCTGATCCAAGAATTCAGAGAGTTCAATTGAATCCATGGAAACTGAAACCTTCATTAGACCCAACAACAAATCAAAGAAGAAACAAAGATCTCCACTTTTAACTTTCCTTTTTCTCTTCACTTTGATTCTCCTTTTCTTCTACTTCAAGAACTTCATTTCCCCTTCTCTTCTTCCCCTTTCCAAAAAATCAATACCCATTATTCCCCGTCCCCAACAATGCAACCCCACAAATCGTCTTCAAGGAAAGTTCATGTGGTATGCGCCTCACAGTGGGTTCAGCAACCAGTTGGCTGAGTTCAAGAATGCGATTTTGATGGCTGAGATTCTTAATCGGACCCTAATTGTACCACCCGTGTTGGATCATCATGCTGTTGCGCTTGGTAGTTGTCCTAAATTTAGGGTTTTGGAACCTAATGAATTGAGATACTTGGTTTGGAATCATAGTATTCAGCTCTTGCGTGATTGCAGGTAATCTTGAAATTTGTACCAGTTCTTAACAACCCTTTTAGCTTTAGCTCACTGATTAGAAAGAATCACTTTTTGTGTATTCTTTGTGTTTGTTAATATGTCTGACTGAATTATGTAGAGATATTTGGAGTCAAATTGTTGCTAATGTTCTTTTCTCCGTTATTTTCGGCATGGCTTCTTCACTACTGTATTCCCTTTCCATACCTGCTTTGAAATGCTTTACTTGGGAGAATTTACTACTGTATTCCTTGTTACATACGTGCTTTGAAATGCTTTACTTGAGTCGAGGGTCTATCGGAAACAGTCTCTCTATACCTTGTGAGTATGCGTGGACACCACCCTCCCCAGATCCCACTTATTGTTGTTATTGTATTTGGAGTTAAATTGATCACCTTTAATGAGGAATTTGCATGTTTCGTGTCTGGTGCTTAGTACTAGTATTCAAACGGTAGGTTAAATATTTTGTTACACTTACATTAGATCCTGTTTGTGACGGGGGTTTTTCGTTAGAGACTTGTATTTCAGTATACTGATTAGGAAGAGATTTAGAAACTTCTACTTTTAGATTAGAGCAACTCGTATTTTGATTTTAAAAGATAGATATTTCAATTGGAATGACAATGGTTGCAGAGAGATTCATAGAAATACTCCATCTAGTTTGGGATTTTGATTGCTTGATTGAATGTGCTTAAAGCCAGCATGTAAACTTTGTGCATAGACACAGTGACAAAGCTTTACTGTAAACTTTGTCTGCATTGCGGAACCCTATCTTGCTTGTTTTTATCTTTCTGCTGCTGATAAATTATTAACTTTTGAATTTCATTGTGCATTTTGATTTTTGACTGAATAAAGATGGAATTACTTTTTGGATGGAGTATTTAGAAGTTTCTAATAATCTGCTTACTTTGTGTTTCGCAGATATGTATCCATGGCTGATATAGTTGACCTTTCACCACTTGCTTCTTATTCAACTGTGAGATTTATAGATTTTCGTGCTTTTGTGTCCTCCTGGTGTGGTGTAAACTTGGATGTTACTTGCTCTAAGGACCAAAATATACCATCTCCATTATCTGAGAGCCTTCGACAATGTGGTTCTCTATTGTCTGGTTATTATGGTAGTTTCAGTGGTTGTTTGTCTGCTTTAAAAGAAGATTGTAGAACAACAGTTTGGACATATAAAAAAGACGATGAGGATGGAGCTTTAGACTCGTTTCAACCTGATGACCAACTTAGGAAGAAAAAGAAGAAATCATTTATTAGGAGAAGGAAAGATGTGTATAAAGCTCTTGGCCCTGGTTCTGCCGCAGAATCAGCCACTGTTTTGGCATTTGGAAGCCTTTTTACTGCTCCTTATAAGGGATCTGAATCCCATATTGACATTCATGAAGCTCCTAATGATCCCATCGTACAGACCTTAATCAAAAAGATAGAGTTCCTTCCCTTTGTGCCCGAAATAATAAATGCCGGCAAGAAGTTTGCTCTTCAAATTATCAAGGGCCCCTTTCTTTGTGCACAGCTCAGGTTACTAGATGGACAATTCAAGAACCACCATAAAGCTACTTTTCTTGGACTGAAGCAGAAAATAGAATCTTTGAGGCAAACAGGACAGAAACAGATCCATGTATTTGTGATGACTGATCTCCCCATGGCTAATTGGACAGGGAGTTACTTGGGGAACTTAGCAAAAGATTCAGATGCCTTTAAGCTGTTTGTTATTAGAGAAGAAGATGACTTGGTTCAAGAAACTGCTAAAGAAGTCATGGCTGCGGGGCATGGGCTAAAACTTGGTTCAGTTTCACAGAATTCGGCAGGGATTAGCAAGCATCACCATCCTCAATCATTAACTGATGTTCTCTTATACATAGAGGAAGTAGTCTGCAGCTGTGCTTCTCTTGGTTTTGTGGGCACTGCTGGGTCAACAATTGCCGAGAGCATAGAATTAATGAGAAAACATGACATTTGTTCTGGCTAAATTGCTTTGGCTTCTAGCTAACTAATGTTACTCACCCAGCTTTGTGTTCTCACATTTGGCAGCTAGAATCCATGTATCATCTGAAATTCTCTCTTTTCACAAGTGTGAACTTACAAATTAACAATGTCCTGCTCGAATTCAAAGATGGACTAGGCTGTCAAATTTGAAGGATACAAGTGATCCATACTGCTGGAAGAGGGACTATTGGATGAAGATTCTGCCGCATATATCAATGGATTAGAAGCACTGATGGCTGAATCTGTCTGGTGTGGAGTTTTCTATTCTTCAAATGCATACTGCTAACTAGATTCCACCCTTTTAAAGGGAGGAGGTAATCATATTTCTAAACTTAAGTCCAGAATTGGAAACAAGATCAACAACCTTCAAGGTGGGAAGGCTATTCGTTGATTTGTGGCATTTAATAAACGATAACATAGCACCCTGTAGAACAATCGAACTGTACAAAATGTTTATGTACTCTGTTGGAGGTGCTCCTTCTCTTTCTTGATTACACTTGTTCAGGGCTTAGTACACCAAGAAGAAATTGAAAGGTTCTGCTCTATGTTGATTCCTAGCCGCCGTTTGTCTCCTCCTCACTATGGTTTTCTATGAACATATTTATGAATTTGTACTCTGAACTCATTGTTCCTTTCACAATAAACTTTCTGGGAGAGCAGTATGGATGAACAACAAAATTTCAGAGTTCTTTGCTTCTGGAAGAAAGGGTTGTACTGAATTGTTACTACTATATGAAATTCAATCAGGTTGATATTTGTTTGTTTTCATTTGTCTTATCATTTCTTTACAAGGGTTCAAATTCCTGTAGAGACAAAAGGGGTTGGGTGAATCTTTTATGGCGGAGTTACCGAGTATCTATGTTGGTGGGAGATAAATGGTATTTGATGGAATAGTTGCATGCAAATTAACTAGAAGAACAATAATAATATACTCGGTGAAATTTTACAAGTGGAGTTTTAAGATGATAGAATATATGCTGACATTACCACTACCTCATTGAAATAGATGGTTGCTTTAATCCAAATATAATAAACGAACATATGATAATAGATATCACAAGTAATACAATAGAATAAAAAAAATGTTTTAGCTCACTTCTTGGAGAGACATGATTAAATATTACTATTATATTATGGGCGGAGGGCAAATATAAGAGTGATAAAACTTTTCCAAAGTAAATTGGAAACTTCTCTTGTATAGATTTGTTTAGATGTCTGATGTTTTAATTGTATAAAAGAATATATCTTTTAAGAAATTATACTTCTTCCTCTGTTTCAATTTATGTGACATTTTTCGTTTTTCAAGAGTCAAACAGTTTAAATTTGATTCGAAAATTTGCGCATGGAATTTGTAGTTTTCTTGAAAAGAAATTTATATAGTTGTAAACTACGTAAAAAGTACTATAAGTCACAATAATTAATAATTTAAAATGTTTAAAAGATCTATGGAAAACTTACTGTTAAAGATAAACTTTGTTAGAATCTCAAAATTCGAAAAATATCACATAAAATAAAATGGAGAAAGTATTATTTATTAGTGTATAGAGTGAAACTTTTTCTCCTATAGTTGGTTTAATTTTTCAAAGTCCCGTAAATATATTTTTTCCCC